CACAAATCACAAATCACAAATCACAAATCACATATACTACTAGTAATACATATAAACTCACATATCACAGTTCGGTCACAACTCACAACTCACTCCAGAGAAGTCACTCACAACTCACAACTCACAATTCACAAGCTCAACTCATCAACAAACGACCACAAAACCCTTACTTCCCAAAATCACTAACATCATTCATTCAACTAGCATGGCTTTTGCACTGCCTGCCCCTCCTCCTGGAGTATTTCAAGATTTCAAGGCACTCGAATTACACCTTGAATCACATTCGCTTCGTCATGGCTACAAGATATCTATCCTCGATTCCCGCCATACATTCATCCATTTCAAATGTCACAAAGGACCAACTCGATACGCAAATACACGTGGAACTTGCCCCTTTTTCGCTGAAGCCACCCGAGACTCCCAAGCTGAGCCATGGAACTTTACAATTCGTGAACCTGCACATGACCATCCTGCTAGCAAGAACTCACTAACTAAGCAAGGAAGGAGCTTTAAATCTAAAACGCCAACTCAACGTCGTCCAAGGTCAACCAATACCAAATCGAATCCAAGTCCTATTCAATCAACATCCAATTCGGTCAACCCACTACCCATCACTTCACCCGCCATCCAATATTCGAATCTATTTCAAAAGTTCGAAACCTTTATGCGTAGAATGAATAACCTAGACCACTCAACACAGTCCGTCCTCCTGGATGCCTTTCAACGACAGATCGCCTTTGTCGAATCCAACAAAGATAATCAAACGCAAATCTTGGAAGAATATTTCAACCTTTCAATCACTCCAAGCAACGAAACGCAGCTGTTTCATACAAAAGCATCAGGCTCACCAACACCTGAAATATCTGGCGAACCTCTAATCTCTCCAAAGGTAACATCGATTGTCCTTCATGTTTAGAAAGTGATACTTACTGACCAATTCTCTTTCGATTCAAAACAAGGCGTCTACATCCAATCCAAACCCAACCGAGACTAAGACTAGTCAATCAGCTCCCTTTCAACTTAATCAGGTGCCTTCCCAACCATCATGTCAGACATCTTCTATAGCTCCCGATGCCTCCTCCCTCGAACGAACCAATCACCCAACCAATCAACAGGCAAAAGAGCCAGCCAACATGTCTACACCACCCGATTTCGATATGGAACTCAACAAAACGGCTGATCAAGCTGATGATGAAGAAGAATGATTTCCATGCATTCCACCTGAGGACAACAAAGAACGATTTCCAGGCATGATCATTGATAATGATGAAGATGAACCTCAAGTGTCAGCAATTGAAGCTATCAACCCGGCTCCAGGCTCTGCCACCATGCCTGCCGCGGCAAAGATCTCAGTACCTCATAACCCTAAGGAGAAAGGTAAAGGTCGTAAGGCCTTAGTAAAGGCTCCTGCTCGGGCATCAACTCGCATCAAAGGTTTGAAGGAGACAATTCCACCCATCAAAGAACCAGCAAAGCCTTCCCTTAACATTAAGAGCAAAGCAACGGTACCGGCTCCGGTCATCCCCAGCCTTCCTCCAAAACCCAACTTGAACAATGAGCCTAGACGACTATTGCGCTCCCATTCCCATCGGTCACAAGCTACCTCCGACAAACCGTCATCCACCAGTGTAAGTCATTTTACCATTTCCCAAAGTTTTCTTTATCTATCAAACCGGTTTCCCATTTTGATTGAATAATTCAGTCTAACCTGGCATTTCCTTATCAGCTTTTCACCGAGGTGGGCCCAGAAGCACATGAATCCCCCAAACAAGATGGATTGGCATCAAAGGTGAGTACTTCGATCATATACCAACAAGGAAAACAATGGGATGCTGACATTCAATCTGTTCTGTCATATCTTTTCTAGGCTCCAGTCGATGAGGTTGAAGAAAAATCTGAACTGCTCAAAGAAGAAAGATCGTCCTTGAAGGTAAGTCATCATATCATGTACCAATCGAGAGAAACCATCAGATACTGACATATTCCATCTAGCCCTTCAAGTACATGGACGATATACCGTCATACCTTCATCCCTTTATCATCGAGGCCAAGAACGTACCTGGAGATGGGCTTTGTTCATTTGCATCTATTGCAGTCTCTCTGGGACGTTCACCAGACGAGGCCATGTCGATCCGAAATGAAATGAGAGCGGAGGTCATGTCAAGGTATGATTGGTATGAAAAAAACCTTCCCGATCTATGTATTGATTACGACATCACCAAAATCCTCGAAATCCTTGAAAACCCAAACGATTGGGCACCTCCAACACTATATTTCCCAATGCCTGGAGGCCTATCAATCATCGCCAATACATTCAATCAACCAGTCATGTTTTACACCAAAATCGAATATGCCACTATGTACACCTTCCCCTTTTTCACACCTCCCCCCACCAACTGCCAACCAATCGTAATGGTTCATGTCAATGGAAATCATTTCATATCGATCAAACTACACATCACTCCAGACCTCCCTATACCTAATTTGAATCCGGAATGGACACACCTACACAGTCCATCTGCAGAAGGATGGAAAGGTTTGTATGATGTCAACTCGGCAATCTTCACAACATTAGCAAAATCCCTCAAAATGGCCAGGTATGCAGAGTGGGATCATCTTTGGGGTGATACTCCACCCCAGGTTGTGGTGGTGGAAGATCAAAGTGATGAAGAGTCGGAAGGGAATGGTCATGGTGAAGTTGATGCGAAACAAATAGATACTTGAAATGATATACTTTATACTTTATTTGTCGGTGCCAATGCTAAAAATCATTTGAACAAGTTACTTAGGTGATATCCTTCATAAATCATCCAGATCCATGTTACCCTCTATAAACACTTGCTGTAATATAGTCTTAGATTAAGCTCAGAATCGGTTTGATTGAACTTGATGATATATGTATATCAATCTTGAAAGTGAAAAGCTGATTCTCAAATGTTCAAGATGCGAGATTGAAGCCTTCAAACTAATTACAAGGAACATTCAAACCCCTTGAGGTGTGAGTTTGTGAAAATGAGCTCCGAATTGTATTTGTGACTTGAGACTTTTTCAAGTGAAGGTGTTATTCGGTGAAGTCTGTCTGCACTGGATCTTCACAAGCATTGATTTTGATTGACCTTTCACCTGGCATTTAGAAGTTCAAATACTATACATCATTTTTGAAAAAGAAGAACGTAGCATTCGATTATGAAGAAACATCTCAATAATCGAGGATATCAGATTAGAGATATTCTTCGATGAATTTGTGCTCGATACCCCAGAACTTAGCAAATATAGCCAAGTTCTTTCAACATGCCCAAATGTAAAACATACCAAGTACAAATTATTCACTAACTTGGATTGATCGGTTTTGACGAGCAGTGAGAGTAACTTGAATAGAGTCAGAGCAAGTTCAAAACCGCTCAAATTGCATGGACACAAACATAAAAATTCTATTCATTTCTTTGGACTACTTCGATGGTGCAAGAGAAACAGAACCTCAACAAAGTAATCGGTCACAACAACTCAGATGAATAGATCAATAGGAAGAAAGGTGAAAAATTCGATTTTCTGAAATTTTGAAGAGCAAGAACAAGAAGCTTCAGATGATTATTGAATAGACAGTCAAAAATTCAATAATAAAACTAGATTTGATATCTAACTAAGAATCTTGATCAATTGCTTATAGATAAATAAACGATCAAAAAAATTAACAACTTATATGGATATCTAATTTGAAATATAGATGGAAAGATATATGTTCTAGATAGAATAACCAAGGTCTACAACGACAACCTTCAGAACACATCAATCTGTATGAGATTGGCATCCAAAATCAAGAATTAATCACTTGCCAGTTGATCGATCGTTTCATTTGATGATGAAATGTGATTGCAACGAACCAGACCAATACCAACAACAATTCAACCGTCTGAACATAGATCAAAACGGAAACAAGATGAAAACGAGTATAGGAAACTAATGAAAAAAATGATGAAATTAGTGTGAAACTAGTTCATGGATCAATCCATCGATTGTTCAACATTTATAATTTGTAATTTTGAAAACTATTGATGTTAGTGTGAAAGTATATCATCATAGTCAAGCTGGTTGTAAGAAAATGCTAAAAGTCCTCTTGCCAAATCCCATACTTGATTGCAAGTGCCTTCATCTTTTGGTGAGCTTGTTCTTTATAACCGGTCAAGACAGATGCTTGATAACTGATCCATTCGGATTCGGACATCATGGATTGCAGAGATTGGACTGTATTAAGTCGATTAACTAAGGCCTGCGAAATTTGACATGAACATGCGAATCGAGTAATTTCGGCAGATCCAGCTGGAATCCTTTCGTTTTGGGCGTTGAAAGTCTTGGAGGCGGTAGTTTGATGATGGATTTGAGAATTCCAAAGCATTTGGATAACTCCATCGGTCGCATCTAGATTAACATCGATGTTGTAGTCATTGAGAACAAAACGAGCTCCAAGAGTATTACCTCTTGGGGAATCTACTCCGCGATGATAAAGGTGACCATTGGCTCGATCGACTAAGGTGAATAAACCAAATGCATACTTGGATGCATCTCTATCTTTGTGCCTTTTGTTTACAAACTCATCGCAGGTTACCACAATGTTAGAACCGAAGACTTTAGAGTTGGGAGTGACATAAAAGGACTCATTGGCCCAGGATGGCGCATTCGTTTCTGCGGCCAGGGTGGCATTGGAATCGAATGCAAACAAGGAGAGTGAGCTGAAACGCTCGGCAAAGAACGATTCGATTCCGGGAAGATTCCCTTGTCTTTTCAAGTCGGCTTCCATTTTGTAAAGATCATTTGCGATTTCTTCATTCCAAGTATAATGTCCTATAATGCGATTTTAATCTCATCGTAAGTGAGTCTGGAACATATGGACATGGAATTGTTGTACTTGAAACATGACTAACCACATTTGACAATACGATCATACCCAGGACGGAATCCTGCAGCATACATTCGCCCGAACTTGTGGCCTTGTCTCCTTCCTCGATAAGTAGCACCATTACCTAATACTTCATTCCTGGCTTTAGCGTGCTGATAGATGGTACTGATGGCCTGATCATAAGTTTTGAACAAGTCCTCGTTCATGCCTTCCTGAGGCTCTACAAATCAAACAACGAGTAATAGTTCGGAGGTATCCGCATCGAGACAAACCACAGTCCCATGAGTTAGACTCAGACGAGGACGACCATATTTACGACCTTTCTTCAAGAACATGAATTTTGAGTTTTCCGGTAGTGTAACGGGGTTTGTCAATAACCCACGTAAAGAAATTAACCTTAGTAATTAAGGTTAGGAAAAGATTCGAAACAGAGAAAAGATCCGAAGGTCGTCGAGTTTCAAAGGGAAAGGATGGCGTCGAGGCTTTAATTGATCTGGAAGTATCGGGTAAAGGGGAGACGGGCTTTGATGCTTTGAAAGTGATCTCTGGCGAGGTTTGGGATCAAGAAATGGTAAAAAAGGTTCTTTTATAAAAGGGTTTTATTGCGATAGTGATAATAGCGATAAAAGGTTTTTATAAGAGTGAAAGTGACAAAAATGTAAAGATAAAATTGATAAGGTCTGGGGTTTCTTTATCCACGAAGAAACCCCTACAATTTATACGAAAGAGTAAAAGATAGTGACATCGCCATTATAATGGCTAGGCAGGTTTACAATGATCTCATAACATGGCGGGCCGTGATAATGGCTGTTATACAGATGGCACGGGTTAGTCTAGTTACATACATGTAGTTGAGTTTCAAATACTGTATTGGCCTGGGCTAATCCCTTTTCGTATCTTTCATTAGTCGTAGCAGTAGCCCTGCTACATCATCCCCCTCTCTACAACACAGCAATCCTTATGCTGTAGCGAACTTCCCGACAATTTTGATGCGGGGCGCAGTCTTGGTCTGTGTCTTAGAAAGTTTCTTGGCAGAGGAAAGGATGGACCGAGAAATTTTTGCATCCTCGCGATTGATGTCTTGAATGAGACGAGGAGGGAGGGCCCAAGAATCTCCCAACGTACGGTCGCGGATGTGGACAGGTTTGAGCCGATTCCCGCTGATCGGATGAGGGAACAAGTTGGTCTTGTGATCCAATAGAAAATAAACGTTATTCCCGAGATTGTCGAATATCTCGAAGGGGCCATACCATGCCGGTTCTCCCTTGGTCCTCGTTTCGTTGCAAAGCTTGACCATATCGTGGATGGCATAGCTGACAAGAGTGGATTGTGCACGTCCAGACGC